GGTAGTATTAGTTGTGGATGAAGTAGTATTTTGGTTGCTATTTGTTTTTTTTTGTGGTGGAGATGTTTGTGGTGCAAATGGGGTAACTGGAATTTCAACAAATGGCATTGATATTTCTTGTGATGAACTGTTTTGTTGTTGTAGAAGTAGTTGCATTCTTGATTGTGGTTGTTGTTTTTGTTGAAATTTCTCAAAGATTTGCTGTGGAGTTTTAGAAGGTTCATTTTGTAAAGGATTAGATAATAATGAATCTAAAGATGTTGTGGTATTATCAGTACTATTATTATCATTATCATTATTATTATTATTATTTTTATTATTATCATTATTATCATCATTATCATTATCATTATCATTATTATTATTATTATTATTATTATTATTATTATTATTATTATTATTATTATTATTATTATTATTATTATTATTATTATTATTATTATTATTATTATTATTATTATTATTATTATTATTATTATTATTATTATTATTATTATTATTATTATTATTATTATTATTATTATTATTATTATTATTATTATTATCATTTTTATTATCATTATTATTATTATTATTATTATTATTATTATCATTATTATTATTATTAATTATATTATCAAAAGGTGCGGCCAAGTGCAATGGTGGAGTTAAAAATAATTGATCTTCTTCAGTATTTGTTGTTTTATAAATATTATTAATGGTTGGTAAAGGTGTTGAATAGGTTGAAAATTTCAAATAATCCAAAGGCCAGTTGGTGTCAGGTTTTGCAACGATCCTCAAGGTTGCATCACCGAAAACATCATAAGCTACATCTGGGAAATATTTTTTATATTGAGAAATAGTGTATTGATATCTTGAACGCCAATGATCACGTTTTTCCGAATCTTTAAGACCTTTTCTATCCGATACCTTAAAGGGTATATCATAACCCAATATCTTACCAAAGAGTCTATATCTATGGGAGTCCAAAACTAATTTCTTCCAATAGAGAAAGATAAGGGGTGATGGTATAAGTTTGGTTGGTTGAAGATTATTGAAATCCGAGTTCATAACCTTCAAAATGATGAATCTAATAAACTCGGGATGAGTTTTGGTATTGTTTTCATTGTGTTCATCATTGATCTTCTTGGAGATCGGTTGGTATTTGAATTGATTGGAAACTCTAGAAAAGAGTTGTAATGCAAAATCACAACTATCCTCAACGATGCTATTGTTGTTTAGGTAGAGATTGTTTGAATTTAATAGTTTTAATTTCTTTATCTTTTTTCTTTGTTCCTTAATTTTAGAGTGTAGTTTTTTTACCTTCTTATCCTTACTTTTCATTTCTTTCTCCTTCTCTTTCAATTTCAATTGCTGCTTCAAATGTCGTATCTCCTTTGACAATGGTTCCTCTTTTTCAGACTCTGATTCAGATGATGATATATCATCACTAAATGTATCAGAGTCTGTTAATTCACTCTCACTACCATCACTAATATCTTTATATCTCTTTGGTGGTCGACCTCTTTTTTTTTGTTTATTAGGATGTTTATTATTTTTATTTATAATTTGTGAAAACACTTGTTTGTTTGGTTCTATAATAGAACCTTCTATTGAATTGTTATTATTTGTCATTACTTTTTGAATTTCATTATTGTTATTATTATTATTATTATTATTATTATTATTATTATTATTATTATTATTATTATTATTATTATTATTATTATTATTATTATTATTATTATTATTATTATTATTATTATTATTATTATTATTATTATTATTATTATTATTATTATTATTATTATTATTATTAGTATTATTATTAGTATTATTATCATTATTATTAATATTATTACTAGTATCATTATTATTAGTATTATTATCATTATTAACATTATTAACATTATTACTATTAGTTATATTAAAATCATCGCCATCGTCATCGTCATCGTCATCATCATCGTCATCGTCATCGTCATCGTCATCATTCTCGCCATCATCCTCAACATCAAGTGATGGGATAGGGGTATGTATACCGTTTATTGATTTTCTTTTTTTTTTATATTTTGAGGGGATTTCTGTTTTTTCATCTTTTTCAAATCTAGATCTTTTATTATGACTTGATTCAGTTGGTGATTCATCACAAATCGTTATTAACCTTCTTATTAAATCCAATTTTTTACCTTGAACATTTGCAGATGGATCTCTCTTTTTAATCTCCTCTTTTAATTCATTAATTGAAAAACATTGAATATAACCACCATCAACTTTATACTTCCTAATCTTTTCATACTCTTCTTTGGTTGCACCTTTTATTATAAACATTCCTTCTTTTTTATTCAATCCTACAGATCTTATTGGTTTACTTTTTTTTTGTTTTGGTTTAAATGGTGATAGTAATATTTGGGACTGTTGCTGTAGTTGTGGTTGTATGATTGAATTTATATATTGTTTCTCAGGTGATCGTACGCAAACCTCTTGATGACACTCTTGTTCTGTTGGGAGAGGTATTTGGTATGTCACCAGATGGGGAGAAAGTATTTGTTCCTCCAGTTTTATTATAGTCGTTATTTTAATTAAATTTTTACTATTTGGGTTATCTTTTATATTTTTTTTATCGGTTGGAAATTAAAAAAATAAAAAAAAAAAATGGGACAAAAAATAATTTATTAATTTTCATGTTTTAAAAAAAAAAATTAATTTTTTTTTTTTTTTTATGTTGTGAGAAAATGTACATGTTTCTACACTTCCCACCTTTACAATCATTAAATTAAATGAGTATATTTTTTTTTTAACTTTTCTTATATTTTTTTTTTTTTTTCATTTTTATTTTTTTCCCAAATAAAAAAATAAAAAAAAAATAAAAATAAAAATAAAAAAAAAAAAAAAAATAAACACACATTTGTAAATTTATTTAATACCTTTTTAATTTTTTAATTTATTTAATTTTTTTTTCATTTTTTTTTTTTTTTTTTAATTGCCCTTAATTAAATTTTTTTATTTATTCACTTATTTATTTAAAAATTCAATTTAATTTAAAAATAAATTTTTAGGTTCATAAAAAAATGGCATCAGAATGGTTTACAATTCCAACAAATGGTAAGATTAAATTTTTTTTTATTATTTTATTAATTTCATACTTATAAACATTTGTTATTTTTGTATTATTTTAGATAAATCGATAATGTTGATTTGTGGTATTTTAGATTTTTTCCTTTTTGGTGTTGGTACTATAATATTAGGATTATTAGATAATTGTAACTTCTTTGTAATAGTATTTGGCATTTTACAACTTTGTGTACCATTTCTTGGTTGGATTGTATCTATAATATATGGAGTATTGGTAATCTTAAAGGCTTTAAAACAATAGTTTTTCTTATTGTCTTCACAAAAAAAAAAAAAAAATAAAATAAAAATAAAAATAAAAATAAGTAAAAATAAAATAAAACTAAAAAAAACAAATAAAAAAAAATTGTTTAACAGCATATAAAAAATTATAGAATTGCTATAATTAGAATCTAAATCAGCTAATTAATACTTACTGATTATTTCTAACCTATATTCTTAATGATGATTTTATTTTTATTGATTTTTTACAATTATTAGAAATCAATAAATTTATTTGATTATATTTATTTGATATAATATATTTTAATTGTTATAATATTTATTTGTTGTTATTTGTTATGAATAAATATAAAATCCTAATGTTAATATTAAATAATTTTATATTTATATTAATAGTAATGAGTTGATCTAATTTCCATTTAATTTTATATATTTAACATATTAAAAAGTATGTCATGCTTTATATTTTTATCTCAAGAGTACTCGTTGGTCATACTTTTGTTAACAAAATGGTGAGAAATACTCTGAAGTATCTTTATCAAATCCTGGTAAACAATCATTATTACTATTTTTAATATTAAAAATAATAAAAGTGTTCGAAATTGGAGTTGTATTATAATCCGTAATATTATCGTCACAAGTGTTCTAGAAGAACCTTCTTGACGTGTTACAATATTGAGTCACTAGTTTGGACTCAGTATAATAGGAAAATAAAAATATTTATTTTCTTCAGTCTTCTTACTTAATAAAAAATTTAAAAATATAAAATTTAACAAATTAATAATATACAAATTAAACAAGATTATCATTTAACATCGTAGAACCATTACAACAAAAGGGAATATTCGATATTTATTCATCTCAAGTTACCTTATCTAACCTGACCTTATTAAACCTCCAAATATGCTTTATAGCAGTTCATTACATATTCATCTCAAGTTACCTTATCTAACCTGACCTTATTCAGTTGGATGTGTGCTAGAATCATGTTTATTTATTGATTATTTTAATTTAAAATTTTTTTCTGTGACCTCGTTATTAAGTATGACCAAGACTTGAACCAAGGCCACGGAGGCTGTGTTATTCTGTGTGAAACCACTATACGTGCTAAACCCCCATATTAAATATCGTTTTTTTTTTTTTAATAACCTCATCCAATTGGATGTGTTCGAATCTAGTTTTTATTTATTAATTATTTAAATTTAAATATATATAAATTAAAATAATTAATGTGTGAAACCACTATGCTAAGCCCCCCCACTATTAAATATCATTTTTAGAAGTTCATTACAAAAATGTAATAAACACGAATAAATAATGATGCTATAAAACCACCTAAGGTTTAGTCCAAGGTTAGAATCAAAAGGTCTGAAGAGAAGGTTTGATTAGAAGGTCTCAACAGAATCTAACCTATAGGTTCCTTAGGAAATAATTCGAGTATAAAAACAAAATATAATTAAAATAAACATTCATCATTTAATTAACAATAAGTATTTAAACAGATAAAGAGTATAAATTATTATTATTGATTATATTGTTGAATTTATATTTATTTAAAAGAGTTATATAAATAACAATTCAAGGGACACAATTAAAATATTATAAGAGATAAGAAGGATAGTATTTAGATATCGGTCACGCGATTCTTGACCAAAAATATCAAAAAAGCGTATGTGGTCTAGTGGTATGATGCATCCCTGCCACGGATGCGAACTGGGTTCGATTCCCAGCATACGCATATAATAATTTTCTCCACACGAAAATATGGTCAGGAGTTCGAATCTTGGTCAGGTAAAAAAATGGGCTCGAGTTTTACAAAAAGCGTATTGCTATTTAATATAAAAACTCGTGTAGAGACTGGAGGCTCAGCCCTACTGGTCAATGATAGACACCTGCCAGTCCCGAGTTTGAACCCATACGACTCTCAAAATGTTCCGGGGTCATTTTTTATTTGATTCAATATACACAAAAGATTTTCTAATCACCATGTTTTTTTGTTGTTGTTTTTTTAGAAGTCGAGCTTTTTTCCGGTGTGTAAATTATGACCACCTTACTTCGTGGTATGACCTAAGGCTCGAACCAAGGCCACTGAGACTGTGTGATTCCTTAATAACGTGGTCACAGAAAAAAAATTTTAAATTAAAATAATCAATAAATAAACATGATTCGAACACATCCAATTGGATAAGGTTATTAAAAAATAACCATATTTGGAGGTTTAATAAAATAAGGTTAGATAAGGTAACTTGAGATGAATATGTAATGAACTGCTATAAAACATATTTGGAGGTTTAATAAGGTCAGGTTAGATTTTTTTTTTTTTTTTTTAATATTGATGATTATTGTTTGACCTTAGTCTTTAACAATAATAAAGTTTATTATTTTTTTTAATAGTTAATTTAATTAATGTTCATTATATGATGCTTTTACATTTATATGAAAAAGTCAACAATCACATTATTAGGGAGAGATTTTCTTAATATACAGTATTTTTTTGAAATAGGTTAGATAAGGTAACTTGACCACGGAGGCTTGTGATTCAGCGTGGAACCACTACGCTAAGCCCCCCGGGAGTTTTTTTTATGCATAGGTGAAAAATTATCGACATTCGTATGATCAAGTCTTTTTTTTTTTTTACCTATTCAGGGTTGCGCCTTGAGACGGTTTTCCGTTAGGCGAGTGGGGATCGAAGATCGTGTCTGGTAGGTTGCCTGTTCTATATAATCACCGACGGGCAGAGCTATATTTCCAGACCTGTTTTTTTATGCTAACTTTTTTTTTTTTTTTTTTTTTTTTTTTTTTTTTTTATATTATTGGGATTAGAATTTCTAATCACCATGTTTTTTTTTTTTTTGTTGTTGTTTTTTTTTTTTTTTTTTGGAAGTCGAGCTTTTTTTTTTTCCGGTTGATTATGAGGTGTGTTATTTATGACCACGTTACCTCGTGGTATGACCTAAGGCTCGAACCCAAGGCCACGGAGACTGTGTGATTCAGCGCAGAACCACTACGTATAGCCTCCAATAATGAGGGTTTAATTATGACCACGTTACTTCGTGGTATGACCAAGACTCGATCCCTAGGTCTTGACCACGGAGGCTTGTGATTCAGCGTAGAACCACTACGCTAAGCCCCCCGGTTTTTATGCTAACGAGTCGTATGGGGTTCGAACTCGGAACTGGCAGGTTACACTGTCTATGGCTTTGACCAGCAGGGCTGAGCGTTCAGTTGCTATCAAGTCAGGAATCGAACCCACGACCTGCACCCAAATTTTAAAAATATATGATCCGACCGAGGATCGAACTCGAGACCTGTTGCGTGTAAAGCAACCGTGATAACCGACTACACCATCCGACCATTTTGTGGAGAATCAGGTAAGATAAAATCATCAGATAACAACAAATCTGAAGTAAATCTCTGATATTAAAACTTCGATCGAAGATCGAAGATTACAGATCGTAAATCACAGATTACATGAAGATTCATAACCGACAATAGGTTAAAGACAACTTTCTAACAATTTATATTTTCATACTTCTTACCACACACACACTTTCTAATTCAATGAATATCAAATATCACACATTAATCTTAATGTTATAATAATCAAATCAACACTTTATTTTAATATAAAAGCTAACATTCTTTCATTAAATTATTTGTCATCAAATAAATATATTATTAAAATAAATAAATAAATAAATAAATAAAATTATAAATATTTAAAAGTAATTTATTACATTGCGTTCTTTACATTTTGGCGACATCGGACAGAAGAATATTGTTAGGTAAACAATAAATAAAAATTTTTATCAGGTAGATTAAAAAATTTTTTAAGAACCATAAATCAAATATTTAAATTAAATAATTTATAAAAAAAAAAAAAAAAAAAAAAAAAAAAAAAAAAAAAAAAAAAAAATTTTTTTTTTAAAAAAAAAAAAAAAAAAAAAAAAAAAAATGGCAGAAATTAATAATGCAAACAATAACCCAGGTGACATAAATAATGAAGGGAATAATAATATAAATTTACAACAAATCTTACAAAGTCTTGGAGAAATAATAAATAAAGTTAATGGATTAGAAACCAATTTAAACACAGTAAGAGCTGAACAATTAAATCAGCAACAGCAACAAGTAGGTGTAATCAAAGAAATTGTTCAGGTAGAACAACAACAACAAAGACAAAACATAAATAATAATAATTTCAGGATCAATGAAAATTTACCAATAAAAACATTTTCAAATAAATCAAAAAAAGATTGTGAAATCACAACTATTTTTCAATTATTTGAATCAAGTAATAAACATATAGGTGAAATAAAAACAATCAGCAAAGCTCTCAGCTATCATTTCAATGGAGAAGCTCTAACAGTTTTTATGAATAAATTTGAGGAATATAGATCATATGATGAAATAAAGAAATATATGATAAATTGCTTTGATCATCATTCAATATTTAGTGCTGAAGAAGAATTAATGAATCTTAAAGAATCACAATTTAAAAGATTTACAGATTTTTTATTAAAGTTTGAAAGATTGAAATCAAAAACAAACATAAATGATAAAAGAGCAATTGAAATTTTAATCAATTGTATAACAGATAAAAAAATTAAAAAAGCAATTTTCATGAAAGACCCACAAACATTGGAACAAGGATTCAAAGATGCAAAACTAGCAGCTCTTTATGAATTCAAAGAATCAAACAAAACATATTATTCACCATCTGTAGAAGATGAACCAGTTGGAAAATCAGAGCCAATGGATGTCAATTCAATCAATTCAAATAAACAATTTAATCATAAAAAGAAAAATTATTATAATAAAAACAGTAATAATAATAATAATAAAGGTAGTGAAGGTAATACAGAAACCAATAAAAATAATAAAGTAAGTGTAACCTGTTTTAATTGTGGAAAGAAAGGACACTATAAAAATCAGTGTAGATCTGCGGTGATGGTCATAAATTCACCAAAGATTCAAGAAGATCAACCAGATACAATTAACATATTAAACAAAACAACAACAGTCAGTGTTGCGGCTGTTATAAAAATTAATAAACAATTAACAAAATGTTTAATAGATACTGGTGCAGCTATTACTATTGTTAATCAAGAATACTGCAGAAAAATGAATTTAGAGGTAGAACCATTAAAAACTACATGCAAAGTTGCAAATTTTTCAGATTTAAACATTTGCGGTTTAACCAAATTAGAGATACATTTTGGTAAAAAACACCTCATCAATAACGTTTATGTTTCAAACGTAATTCCATACAATTGTATATTAGGATATGAAACAATAAAATCAATGAACTGCATCATTGATACAGTGAGTGACACATTATATTATAAATTTAAACCATCAATACACGTAAACTTACTTCCATCATGTCAATTGGAAATCAATATTATAAATAACAATCATACTGAAACAACTAATTTAGCATTACAAGATTACAATTCAGATAAAATAGATTTAGAAGAAACAATATTAGAAAATTCAAAAAAATTATCAATCAATTACATTAGTACATTACCACAAAAACTAATTAAAGATTTGAACGAAATGAATTTTGATAATAAAGAAACTAAAAATTTAACCGTAGAATTAATTTCAAAACATCCAAAAATCTTTCAAGAAAAATTTAATTTATCAGAAAAAGGAACAATCAAAAACATTGAACATGAAATAAGATTAAATACAAATAATGTCAATTTTCAACCATATGCAATGAAAAATAGTAAAGAAGAAATTGAATTTCTAGCATCTCACATCAAAGAATTAGAATCGAATGGAATAATCCAGAAGAGTAATAGTCCAGTAGCATCCAACATTGTATTAAGAAAAAAATCAGATGGAACACTCAGGATGTGTGTAAATTATACCAAATTAAACGCCATCACAATCAAGGATCGTCATCCACTTCCAAATGTTGAGATTCTATGGCCATATCTAAAAGGAATGAAAGTATTTTCAAAAATAGATATGATTCAAGCGTATTATCAAATTAAGATCAAGGAATCAGATCGATGGTTAACAGCTTTCGTATCACCATTCGGTATTTATGAATTTATAGGTTTACCATTTGGTTTGTGCAATGCTCCTGCTACTTTTCAAAGAGCCATCAATGAAACATTTGAAGATCATATTTTAAAATTCACATTTCCATTTTTAGACGATATATTTATTTTCTCAAAAAATATAATCGAACATCAAAATCATTTACATCAAATTTTAGATAAAATGGAAAAGAATAAAATGGTAGCAAAATTAAACAAATGTCAATTTTTTAGAAGTCAAGTAAAATTCGTAGGAAATGTAGTAAGTGATAAAGGAATTCAATTAGATCAAACAAGATTAGATCCAATTTATAAAATAATTGAACCAAAAAATAAAAAAGAATTACAAAGAGTATTAGGTGTTATCAACTATTTTAGAAAATACATACCTCATTTAGCAACTCAATTAAACTCCGTATATGAATTGCTAAAAGATAATATAGATTTTAATTGGAAAGAAGATTATACAAACAAATTAAGAGAAATAGTAAATCATTTAAAAGATAGTAAAACAATATTGGTATATCCAGATTATACTAAAAAATTCACGTTAGAAACGGACGCTTCGGATAAAGGATTAGGTGCAGTTTTAAAACAAGAACATGGAATAATTTCATTTTTCTCAAGATCTATTAGAGGGAATGAAATCAATTACTCAACCAGCGAAAAAGAATGTTTGGCCGTAATTGAAAGTTTAGAATTCTTCCATAGTACTATAGGATCATATGAAGTTGAAGTGATTACTGATAACATAGCTATATCAACACTCAAATCAGAAAGATCAAAGATTAAAAATAGAAAATTAGTAAAATGGCAATTAAAACTAGCAGAACATAATACAACTTTAAAATATCGTAGTGGAAAACAAAATGTCATAGCCGATTGTTTAAGCAGAGCTCCATTGCTCATTTCAATAATAAATAATATCGATCATTCAGTTAATAGTTTAGCAGATTCAAACAATGACAATTCAAATAATAATAATAATAACAATTCAAATGAATTAATCAATTACGAAATTAATTTGGATAATAAAACAATAATTGAACATCAAAATAGAGATGAATCACTAAAACCTTTAATTCAATTTTTGAAAGAAAATAATATTACAAATAGCGAAGCAGCTGGAAGATTAGATAAAATCTCACCATTCTATACAATATATGAAAACATGTTATATAGAATAATAACTGATCCAAATAACTTCTTCAAAAAAGAAAGAATAATAACCAAGTTAGTAGTAATTCCAAATTCATTAGTAGAATCAATCATAAAAATATTTCACAATGCAGCATTAACAGGAGGACATTTAGGATTTAATAAAACAATAGCAAACATTTTAAAAAGATATTATTGGAAGAATATGGTAAATGATATTAAATGTTATTTAGATAATTGTGAAGTTTGTCAAAAAACCAAAACAAATAGATACGACACAATTAGAACACCACTAAAACCAATTGTGGCGAATCACCCATTTGAGATAGTAGCCATGGATTACGTTGGTCCAATAGGAGTAGAACCAACAACTCAAGGAAATAGATATATTTTAGTATTTACAGATTTGTGTACGAAGTGGGTTGAAGCAGTGGCAACACCAGATTGTACAGCAGAAACTACAGCTATTCATTTATTCAATTTAATAATTACACGTCATGGAAGTCCAAAGAAACTTTTATCAGATTGTGGATTATCATTTTTAAATAAAACAATTGAAAACATTACTGAAATATTTACTATCAAGAAAATTAATACAACTCCATATCACCCACAAACAGATGGTTTGGTAGAAAGATTTAACAAAACCATCGTTACAATGCTCAAAGCATACGTTGAAGACTATCATGTATGGTGGGACCAGTACATCGATTGTTGTTTATTCGCTTATAGGATGAGTAAACATGCATCAACTAAATTCTCTCCATATTATCTCATTTATGGTAGAGAACCAGTCATCCCAATTGATATTAGTATTGAAAATCAATTAATTCCAAGAGCTATAAAAGTGGGAGAGAAAAATTATGGTGATAGAATAAGAAGAATTATTATGAGATCGTTAGCACAAGTAAGAATAAACAATAACAAAGCAAGAGAACAACAGACTAGAAATTATAATAAAGAATTAACAAATAATCAACAAACAGTGAAAACAGGTGATTTCATTTTAATCAAAAATCAAAAGAAAGCAGAAGGTTTTGAATACAATAAATTTATGAAATCATGGATAGGCCCATTCAAAGTTATTGAAGTCCTTTCACCTCAAACAATCAAAATTCAACTACCAATCGGAAGCTTGCT